GGGGGGGTGAGGCCATGAGTAGCTGCCAGGGGGCTTGCTGGCCCCAAAGGGCTTTTTTGGGGTGCCAGAGGGGGGCAGCAATCAGCGGCGTGCCCCGGGGGGAGCCGACGGCATGTCCCCAGGCTGGAGCATCCCTGTGAGGGCTCTCACCCCCGGTTTTGGGGTGCTGTCTCCCCAATCCCCACCTGGAAGGCGATGGCGTAGCAGGCGTCGCAGTGCAGGGATTCGGGCATGTGGGGCGAGAGCCGCTCCTCGGGGCTGAGCCGGGGTGCAGAGATGGAGTGGGCTGGGGCGGCAGGGGGGCCCCCGCACATATCCTCAGCCCCCGTTCCTACCAGCAGGCTCAGGGCCAGCCACGCCGCCAGTGCCGGCCGCATCCTGCCACGATGCCGAAAGTGCTGGGGCGGAGGCACGGGGCGGCTATAAACCCCCCCCGGGGCTGGCGAGTGGGCACTGATGCGCAGCCGACGCACCTGCATCCGGCTGACGCAGCCCCGTCCATCCCCAGGGTGTTGGGGCAGGGGGTGGGAGGGGGTGCATGTGGGGTGTTCCCCGACCGAATGTCCCCTCTCCGGGAGGTTTTCGGTGATATTCAGTCCCGTAGCGCCCGACCCCTCCTCCTTGGCTCAAATCCTCCCTGGGATGGTGTGGACCTACCTGGGCTGAGGCTGGGGTGGGAGTTTGGGGGTCAGGGCTGGGGTTTGGTGTTCGAGGGCTGGGGTTCAGGGCTTCCTAATGACTGCGGAGCCCGCTCCTACTCCCAGAGACTGGGATGCATCTGGTCGACACTCCAGGACAGACAGACGGACTGTGGGGTCCAAGTGCCTCAGCCCCTCAGCTCCCCTAGAGGGGCTGCAGGAGCCCCTCGCACCCCCCTCCCCCTTTACAGACTACACAAATGCAGGATGAATACGCAGGGTTTAGTGCTGTCTCAGCATTTTTATTACTATTTCAGGGAGTCCGTGCTGCAGCTGTGGCTGTGGGCAGGGGGCTGGCGGTGGCCAGGCCATCGTCCCCCTGTGCCGACCAGCCCGGGTTGCCCTCAGGATGGGACCCACAGTACAGGGGAAAGTGGGGGCCGTGCATCTGGTCCCTTTGCCGGCTGGGGCCCATAACTTCAGGCCCCCCTCAGGGACTGCCAGGTGGTCGCATTGGAAAATATCCTTTTTCTCCCCGTTCCCACGAGGAGCTGGTGAGGTCCAACCGATGCCTGTTACCTCTCGGCACTTCGCCGGCTCAGCCACGAGCGGGGGTCTCTCCCGTACCAGGGTTGATGCCGACTGGGGGGTTACAGCCCAGCTGCTCGGGAAGGGACGTGCCACGTGGGTCCATCCCCGGCCAAGGACCGTCACATCTGGAGCAGCGGTCCCTTCTCGGCCCCGGCAGGGCTGGCACGGGCAGGGGCCTGGCCAGGGCTGGGGCCAGGGCTGGCCCGCATCCCCGTGGGGATGTAGTACAGGCTCTCCAGGTATCCACAGTCGGGACCCCCGGCAGTGGGCGGCCCCTCACCCTTGGGAGCAGAGCTGAAGGTCCCAGAGAAGCTGGGGTTTTCGGCAGCTGGCAGGTCAGGGTGTGCCGGAGAGAGTGCGGAGGGTGCCAGGAGCCCCGGGAAACCACCGTAGGGCAGGTAGGGTGGGCCATAGACCCCTGGGGCCATGACCAAGGGGTTGAAAGGAGCCTGGTAGAGCCCGGTGTGCGATGCCACCGGTGGGATGAGCACCTCCAGGTACTGCCCGGTCTCAGGGTCGTAGAGCGTTTTCAGCTGGGGCTGCCGTGGTGGCTCCATGTAGTAGCATTTCCCACTGTCGGGATCGACAAGCATCCTCCGGTGCACGGGCAGGTGGGGGGCGAAGGGCTTGGTGGGGCTTGGTGTGCTCTTGCTGCTCGGCGAGGCACCGTCGGTCCTCCTTAGGAAATGGGGAGCATCCTCGAGGCGAGGCTGGGGCTGGGCTGGGGGCAGCAGCACCGGACGCTCTGCAGCAGCTGGGCCCTCGGGGGGCTGGGGCAGGGTGGGCTCGGGGCCGGGTTTGCTCCAGGGCGCTTCCCCACCAGGCAACGGACACGCACCAGTCCCCAGTGGAGCGCTGGCTGGGTTGGGGACCAAAGGGGATCCAAAGGATGAGCTGGCCACACTGGAGACTGATGGGTGCCCAAGGGAAGTGGGGACTCGGTTGGTAACCAAGGGGGACCGAAAGGATGAGCTGGCTGGGTTGGGGGCCAAGGGGATCCCGAGTGACGAGTTGGCCAGATTAGGGACTGAGGGGGTCCCAAAGGATTCGCTGGATGGATTGGGGACCGAGGGGGTCCCAAAGGCTGTGCCGCACAGGTTGGGGACCAAGGGGGTCCCAAAGGACGCACTGGCTGTGTAAGGGATCAAGGGGGTCCCGAAAGACTTGTTGGTGGGGTTGGAGACCAAGGGAGTCCCAAATGATGTGCTAGCCAGGCTGGAGGCTAATGGGAAGCCAAAGGATGAGTTGGTCATATTGGGGACTGTGGGGGTCCCAAAGGTTGTGCTAGCTGGGTTGGGGACCAAGGGAGTCCCAAAGTATGCGCTGGCTGGGTTGGGGGCTGCAGGGGTCCCAAAGGACGTGCTGGCCAGATTGGGGACTGCAGGGGTCCCAAAGGACGTGCTGGCTGGGTTGGGGACTGCAGGGGTCCCAAAGGACACACTGGCTGGGTTGGGGACTTCAGGGGTCCCAAAGGATGTGCTGGCCGGGTTGGGGACTTCAGGGGTCCCAAAGGATGTGCTGGCCGGGTTGGGGACTGCAGGGGTCCCAAAGGACGTGCTGGCCGGGTTGGGGACCAAAGGGGTCCCAAAGGACACACTGGCTGGGTTGGGGACTGAAGGGGTCCCAAAGGATGTGCTGGCTGGGTTGGGGACTGCAGGGGTCCCAAAGGACGTGCTGGCCGGGTTGGGGACCAAAGGGGTCCCAAAGGACACACTGGCTGGGTTGGGGACCGAAGGGGTCCCAAAGGATGCGCCGGCCGGGTTGGGGGCTGAGGGCAGCTTTGGCATCGGAGAGGATTTGGGGGCTTTCACAGGAATTGCTAAGTAGTTGGAGTTCTCTGCCAGGGCAGCAGGAATGTATGGCTCGGTGGCTGCCGGCCAATTCGGTAAATGTTCCCAGGCCTCCCTCCTCTCCGGCAGCCGGCCAGAGGGACCTTCGCCGCCCTCCCCAGCTCGAAACGGGGCAGCAGGGCCGGTGCCACCAACGGAACCGCCGCTCCCCGCGGACACCGGCCGGCTGCCTGGCTGCTTCTGCCTCTGCTCGCTTGCGGGCGGCTCTGGCACGCTTCCCGCTGCCGGTTTCACAGGCTGTGGGTATGCGCTGCTGCCAGCCAGGGGTCCGGCTTGGGGGTCCCCGCTGTCGCTGCTGCCGTGCCGCTGCACCGTTGACTCAGGCCCCTCGGCAGCGTGGAGCTCTCCCGTGCCGCCACGGCCGCGTCCCTCCTTTCCCTCCGTGGGACTTGGCGGCGGTGGTGGGAGGAGAACGGTCTTCTCTGTCCGCAGCAGTGCGCTGCTCTGAGACGGGGAGCCCTCCCTGGCTGCTGCTGGGGACCGCCGGCCCACCAGGACGTGGAGGTGGGTCTCCACATGTGGCACCCCCTCAGCCACCGCTGCCCGTGGCGGCACCCTGAGCTCGCTCCGCTCCCGGCGCGGGGGGGATGCTGGCGGCCCCTCCACGGTAGCCGACCCCCTCCGTGTGGCCTGGACCCTCGTGATGTGGACGGGGGAGCCCCGGGTGGGCGAGGGCCGGCCGCCGGGGAGCTTTGCGGGGTCCTCGGCACACGCCGCGGCTGGCTTTTGGCCGGCAGCCGCCAGCGCCTCCTCGTCCCCCGGCTCCGTCGCTGGCTCCCGCCGGCAGACCGAGGTGCAGTGGATGACAAGCGGGGTGGCCGGTGGCGGCTCCCTGCCGCTCGCCGGTGCTGCGGTGCCACGGGATGCGCCGACGGTCCCGAAGCAGAGGCTGTAGCTGCTCTTCACCAGCTTGCGCACGTCCCGGGGCTGCGGGATGCGCACCTTCCCCTTCTCTTCTGGCTCGGGGGGGGTGGCCGGCGTGGACCCCCGGGCTGGGGTGCCGGGGCTGGGCGGCTGGCGGGGCGCTGACAGCGGCTTCTCCTCCTGCCGACTCCATGGCACCAGCCTCACCTCCTGCGCCCGGGAGGTGAAGAGGCGGCACGGCGGCGCGGCGGGGAGCGCCCGGCTGTCGGCCTCGAAGGGGAGGGTTTGGGGGTGGCTGGGGTGGATGGCTCGCTGCTTCAAGCTGGGCCACGGCTTCAGCGCTCTCTCAAATCTGGGGGCAACGTCCAGCGCCTTCCCCACCCCGGGGTGGGCTTCGAACAAGGCGCGCGCTCGCCGGTAGCTGGTCCTCTCCGATGCTGGCTCCTTGGTGGCACCGGGCAGCCGGTGGCCCTCCAGCACCTCCTGGTACTTCATCCTCTGGTTGAGTTCGTTGAAGGTTGTCTTCAGCTTGCAGACGCTCTCCCTCGTTGCCTCGCTCAGCACCACCCCCTTGGCGGGATGGGTGGTGGTGGCGGTGGCATCCCCCACGGCCACCGTGGCCACTGCGGCCAGCGGCATCCCCCCGCCCCGCAGCTCCTCGGCCGAGAAGCTGCAGTCCGAGCGGGAGAGCGAGCTGGACTTGCCCTCCAAGCCGTCCCCCAGCAGGTCGGTGCCAGCAGAGGACGGCCCCGAGGAAGTCGAGCTGCCCCGCAGCCCCTTCTGCTCCATCTTGATCCTCTGCTCGTACTGCATTTTCTTGGCGAGGACATTTTTCACCAGGCAAGAGGCTGCTCTGGTCTTGCCGGCGTCAGCATCCAGGGAGGCTGTCTTCACAAACTGCTTGTAGTTGAGCCTGAAGTCCTCTCCGACAGCCCTGCCCTTGCTGAGGGGCTCCTTCCTGGCGGGGGACAGGGGTTGGGGGGCCGGGCCATCCCCCCGGGGGCCGAAACCCGTCTCCTTCCTCTCCTTCCTCTTCAGCAGGATCTGGCGCTTGGGGACGGTCCTCTTCTTGCAATGGCCCTTCCTTGCCTCGCCGCTCTCCAGCTCCACGTCCACGCACTCAAACTGCTCCTTACTCAGCAAGCCCAGCAGCTCCCCGTCCACGCCGGCCGGGAAGGGCCAGCCCACCCCGCCGTGGACGGCTGCCG